CGGTACACGACATAGGTAACGCCTTCTGCTGCTCGGTTTACACATGTTATCCACGTGGCTGTTTAAAGGTGTTTTGACTGGTGGATAATGAGTACACAATGTACACAGTGTACACAATGTAACCTTCCGGTACCAGACTTGGTTCCATCATCATTACATGGTTTGAGCCTGCAGAAATCCCGAGAATCACGGGAAAATCTTTGAATGTTTCTTTGCGCCGCACATAAAATACAGGCCTTTTGTTACAGTGACCTGATACCGTAGTGGCACGACCCATTCGCGACCCCTCTCTGCGAACATTATTTTTTTCACTTACCGTAGTCCAACGTGATGATTCCGAATAAATAAAGAATTATTTGCGTTCGGAAAGTCAGAAATTCGGATTTAGCATTCGGAAAGTGAAATTTCGGAAAGTTAAAATAATCTTGAAATGGTCCTCGGAAGCCGGAAAACTGCCAAAAACAACCAAAAACTCCCCTTCTAAGTGGGACCATAGGGCATTCGGATTCTTGTCGGAATCAGCAGAAATAATTCCACTTTCCTGGTCGGATTGTTGTAAATAAATTCGAAATAAAATCGTTCGGAATCATCACGTTGGACTACGGTATTTTTTTTCACACCAAGCTCAAGAGGATTTATTTCATTTCGATCCAGCAATATAACCCTACAGAATCAGGTGATTAACCACCCAAAACAGACGTAACCAATCAACTAACCCGGATCTTTTAGTTTCGCAGTTTCACACAAGCTGTTCAGAATTAATTATTTTTTTCACACAAGCCCAAAATAATTAATTTCAGGGTGAATGGGTCGTGCCACTACGGTACTGCGGCAAGAGGCACATAGTGGCCGAACTTTTTCCGAACCGATGAAACGTCGGGGCACATGGTAGGTACCGTAGGGCCCAACGGAGTGGATGGTACCATACCTCACGGTACATATTTCTCCCGGGGAAATTCAACTACCGGGGATGCTAACAAACACTAAACCTAAGCTACATTCATGCGAGACCCTAACCCACACCCACCCTAACCCCCCAACCTAACCCCACCAAAGTCACTCGGTTGTGCTGGTGCTCAGGCGTCGACAGTCATACGGTTCGGAAAAAGTTCATACTGCGTCACCTACAGGCTACCGTACCAGCATCCTGAGTCCTGACACCAGGATCCCTACAGGCTAGCGCTATCGAGATTCTGCACCCAGTGCACTGCAATAGGTAGGTAGGTACCGCACTTCGCAGTACCTAGACCGTATGTACTAGGCAGGGTACTAGGTACGCATGCACATTGGCGGCAATCCTCAGCAGCTGGTCCCTTGGCCTAGGTACCTACCGGCAGGTACTACGGTACCTATCTACAAGGATACCAACCGTATTCCCCATACCTACCCCATACCTCTATAGGTACCGCCTACATCGAAATCTCCGCCGACCACATTTGATTATCACTAGTGTCATGTCCATACAGGTTTAGTGTTGTTGAATCGGTGGTACCGTAGCCAGGTACCTATACGGTAATAGGTATACCTGTATGGGCACTAAGTATTAAACCGGCAGCTACTTGAAGCAAGGGAATAGGTATTAGTACCTATACCGTAACTTCATCGTCTGTAGTCGTGGAGTCCATGGAGTGCCTATAGATGTGCAGGCCTTATTAAAGTTTGATGATCCCTGAGTCGAAACGAATGAGTGCACTGAGCAAGCGTAGTCCGTCGAATGTTTAGGTAGGTAAGTGGCGGTCTCTTGAGAAGATCACAGGAGCCAAGAACTAAGAGGAGGTACCTCTTGGCAACGTTGCTAATAACAATGTTAGTCAGCTAATCTAGGAGGCAAAGTACCTATACATCATGGAACTTGACATCAACCTCTCTTTAGGGGCTTTAGATGCATGAGCCTCCCCGACTCATTCCAGCGATTGGATTGGTGGATTGATGTAGGCTTATGCCGTCGAATATATAAATTTCACGAGACTATTGCGGCTGGGTTGATGCTAGAGATTAAGACCGCAACAGACTGCAATCCAGTATCAAAGCTTTGAGTCGAGCTTGTAATTTTGGATGGCACACACATCTTTGTCTTTATGATGCACCTCGTGACAGACTCCGACACAGCAAAACTGTGGCTTGTCGCAAAATCCTGTACATTGTTGCCCGGCTGGGGGCCCAAGAGCCACCGGCACGCTTAGGACCGATTGCAATGATGTCGTGTGGCAACTTGAAAATTGGCAGTCAAGTTCCATGAAGCAATGAAATGGCAACCGTATGTTGAGTCAAACTTGTCACTTTACCTGGAGACATACATAGGGCCCATGCATGAGAAGAACGCTCTCCTGACCTTTATTTACTCACGCTTTTGGACCATCAAGTACCGGAGCTATATAAGAAACTACGATTTGCGCTACTGTTTCTGGCCCCTGAACCTTGAAAGTCCATCGTAGCTCTGAGAGGAATCCAACTTTACGTGCAAGAGGGATCACATAGGAAAGGCATGTGTAGAAAACAAGGCTAAAAATTGCAATTCTTGGGAATATGACCTTTGACCTTGTCCCCAACACTCCTCGTCAGATCCATTTGCGCTGGTCTCTGTCTGATGTGTCTTCATATCATCGTACTCGTCTTTTGCGGCTTCGCACTGTCGTCTGTGGCAGCAACGCAAGTTCAATGTCAAGACTCAAGATTCAATCAGAAAAGAGATCCACACGCACAAAATCCTGGACGCTTAGCTCGTACTAACAGGATTACAAGAACTGGGCCGCACTATCAAGTTATGCGCACTCTGGTAATAAGGTTCGGTACCCAATCCCGAAGCATGCCGTGAAAAACAACAGAGCAGTATTGTCAACAGCGCAACCCCGACGTCATCACTACCACGACCTGCGACCTCGCCATCAGATATCCACAATCGCTCACAACAAAACCAGAAGCCGGCCCTTCCGTAACACAGATTTCAGCTCTGGCGCTGTTTCGCCCCAGTGCCTGGAACAAACAAGTTCCTGTGCTTTGTGCCGCTTACCGTCGGTCTCGTGTCTTCGTCTTCCTCCCCATCCTCGTTCTGGTCCGGCACTTCCCCCGCCGCCTCCGCCTTTCCGCCTTGTTCTCCATCGCCAGTCCCCTCTACCTCTCCCGAAACCGCCTCCCCGTGCGTGGGCTTGGACTCGTTAGCATTCCCTTCTGCATCCTTCTTCGTAGCCCCCCCTTCCCCTTCCTTTTCGTCCTGTGTCTCGTTCCAATCAAACGCCGGGCTACTCACTGTTGCTTTTGGGGGGGGCTCGACCGACTCGGCCGCTTTGCTCTTGGCACCCCCCCTCGGAGCGGCCCTCTTGGTCCCCCCCTTGGGCTTCCTGCCGCGCGAACCCCCCTCCGACGGGCTTGCGGCGGCAATCGTAGGAGGCGTTTCAGTTTTGGTCGTTTCGGGAGGGGCCCCCTCGGCGGCGGCAATCTGGCTCGGCTCTTGAGATTCGCTGTCGACTGCGGTGATCCCCTTTCTGCGGAACCCACGAAAGAATCCACGTTATTGCGGGGCAGGATGTTAACGCAGCAGATTTTATAAGCGGACCCAAGCTGGCAAGCTTTATTAATGTACGAATTGGGGGCACCCGTTTGGACTTTCACACGTTGCATGTCAAGTTGCCTCCGCCAAAGCATCGGAATCAGTGGAGTCGCAACGCATTGGCAACTAGTAAAGTGACCCTTGGAACCTTCCAGTGATTTTGCAGCCACTAGGCCTTTCTGCACTTAAACGTTGGCCTCCGAACTTCACGCTTCGAGCATCTGACCCGTCTGCCTTTCGGACCAATCCTTCTCCAGTCTACCTTTGCAAACAGTTACCCATCAAAACAATAATACCAAAAACCGAGAATGCCATAACCTGAAAAAGCAGAGAATGGAGCACCCTCTCACCTCCGCTTCGCCTCCCGCTCGTCCCCCACTTCCTCCACCTCTAGTTTCTCCTCCGCCTCTTCCTCATCCTTCTCCGTGATCGCGGCCTTCACTTGCTTCACCGCCTTTGCCTCTTTTGCGCTCTGCCTCTTCCCCCCCCGCGCGGGCTTCCTCCCCTTGGGACTCGCCGCCTTTCCCACGCGCCCCCCCTTCTTCTCAGGCACAGCCACCCCCCCAGAGGGCTCCCCCTCCGGCGCCGCCTCCTCCGGGGGGGTAACGGCGACCTCACTTGACACCGCCGGCGCGTCGGCCTTCTTGCGACTCCTGCCGCCTTTCGCCCGGGGACTTGCGCCCGCCCGCTTCCGGCCCTTCCCTCGCTTCGCTTTCGGCGTCTCTTCTTCCTCCTCTTCGGCCTCGGGGGCTTCCTCTATCGTCTCATCTTCTTTCACCTCCGCATCCTCCTCTTCCTTTTGCTTCCCTCTCTTCTTCTTCTCCGGACTCGCCCCCACCTCCGCCGCTTCGACCTCCGTCTCAGCCTTCCCCTTTTTCCCGCGCGCAGCTTTCTTCTTCGGCTCTTCCTTGTTCTTCGCCGGCTCTTCTCCCGTCTCCTCATTTCCCCCCTCCTCTAGTTCCTCCGCCTTTGCGTCGGCTTTCGGGGTCTTCTTCGCGGGGCGCTTCTTCCCGGGCGACTTGCGGCCGCGCCGGCTCGGGGTGGCGGGCGCCGTGAGCGCGCGCACGCCCAACTTGCGCGCGCGGTCCTCCTCGGAGTCGCGCAGGTTCCCGGAATCGTCCACAAAGTCCCACCGCTGCTGCGCCAGGTTCAGCTCCTCGCGGTCGCCGTCGTCGTATAGAATCTAGATAAACGCGAGAGGAGATAAGAAGACAATCATATTTGGGAATGATGCAGTCAGAGTCAGAACGAACAACTTTTGCACCGCTGCTGCGCCAGGTTCAGCTCCCCGCGGACGCCGTCGTCATACAGAATCTAGATAAACGCAAGAGGGAATAGAACACGATCAATATGAAGGATCATGGAGTTATAAGCAGAAAGAAAAAGTGCTGACAAATGCTGCGCCACATTCAAGCTCCTCGCGGTCGCCGTCGTCGTACAGGATCTGGATAAACGCAAGAGGAGATAAGAAGACAATATTACTGGGAATAAGGGAAATATAGTCAGAATGAACGACCCTTTCAGAGATGCTGCGCCACGTTCAGCTCCTCGCGGTCGCCGTCGTCGTACAGAATCTTGATAAACGCGAGTGGAGACAAGAAGACAATCATATTTGGGAATGGTGCAGTTATAGTCAAAAAGAACGACTTTTGCACAGATGCTGCGCCAGGTTCAGCTCCTCGCAGTTGCCGTCGTCGTACAGAATCTAGATAGCCAAGGAAGGGAAAAGATGTGATAATGAGGTGACCTATGATTCCTAGGCTCAGCTCCTCATTGTCGCCGCCGTCGTACAAGGTTCGAACAGCAAATCAGGGGAAAGGTTTGATTCTGCGGCGACATCTGACTGGGAGTGCAGATACTCGCGGGTACTGGAAACCACAGGTAAGAAATTGCTAATGAAACGCAAGGCAGGAAGAGTAGATAGATATGGACGCATCGATGCGCTCGGGAACACCAGCTCCTCGCTGTTGCCGCGACTTACCAAATCTAGTCAAACGCAAAGAAAAGACAGACAATTACAATGGCCAGTTCGGAGTTATCAACAGGGAGTAGATATGTTTCACAAATGCGACGCAATCTGGGATCATGGCGGCCGCCGACAAAGTCTAGATATTGTTGAAAAGGATCGTAGTGATCGAGCGCCCACAGCTGATTGGGAGTGCGAAGACCTGCGGGTCGAGAGATTACAATTGAAGAAACTTGACGGAACCATATACCAGGAAGCCTAAATGACAGGAAAAGCATCGATGCGCTCGGTCAACAACTGGTGTCGTGGCATCAAATCTCAAGAAGGTGTGAGCAACAAAAGCGTTCTTATGAAGGACGTCAAACAACGAACCCGAGGCGATAACGAAGCTGAAGATGTGGCCAGAACTGGCTTGAGAACAGCACAAACGCTCACCCTGTGGCTGCCCTTCTTCGGATTGAAGCTCGTGACGTCACCCAGGTAATAGCTGCACAAAGTAAGACAAGACATATGTAGCAAACCATCAATTTGATGAAACAAGCATCCGGTACGTTTCACAGCGAAAGAATTGTGCATTGCTTGGGATCGGAAAACAGATACACTAACCCGAGTCGTGCATCAGCTCCAGTCTATTCGTCAGAATTCAGATTGACAACTTTGCAACCTCAGATGAGTCGCGATTTTCTAAAAAGTAACGCTTACCACTTGTCCTCCGGCCACCACACGCGAATCCTCTTCCCCACGGCCTGCGAATCTGCCCCGTTCACTTCCTCGTCTCGCCAAGCGGGGCTCTGCTTTCACAGGATAAAGCCGGTTCAGCAGTGGCAAAGGTATGCAGGTTTGGGGACACAGGAGTACAAAAGTTCCTGATAGAAAGTGTGTCTGGGATGAGAAAAGCGCTTCACCTTTCAACGTTGAAAGTTCAACGTTGTTATGTCGATCAACATTTCCGCTCATGACAAACCTCCTCGCATCCTCAATGCATCTAATTTGACCACAAACAGAGGAATGTTCTTTAATGTCCACTCTTTGCAGAATAGCTGCGGTTCAGATTGAGCGAGTGAAGCCAAGGGGTCAAACATTACTGTGCTCGTTGGTGCTGCAGATGCGTCACTTACCGCCACGGCAAGGGGCTTCGGCGTTGCTTTCGGAATCGTCAATGCTCCAGCTTTGGCCTTCCCCATTGTTTTGGGCGTCTTTGGATTAGGAGGCTCTTCGTCCTGCAAGATTCCAGCGAGAAACAGTCTCACAAGCGTTCCAAAACGCCTCAAAGTCTCACCCTCTTATCCTCTGCATCAGCAAACGGCTGAACTGACCTCGAACGGGAGAGTCAATCGTTGCCACATTGACGTTAGCTGTGCTCTGGAAAGAAAAGTCCGACTCGCAGAAAGCGAGCTTCAAGCAGAATCCTGCTTGAATTGAGCAAACACAGCGGGCGTGCCAGTGAACTGCAGCTTTGCCTCAGGACAACGAGGCAAGACATCTTCCAAACATTGCCGCGAGCTAGACAGACCCTATTTCTGGAACTCACGACATCTTCTAAAACACACCGTAAAACCTGCAGACGTCCCGAAAGCTAGAGATTGGCGTTGTTTCACAAACTACAACGACAGAATGTTGAAACAAGACGCCGCACCTCCTCGCTCTCTTCCTCGTCTTCGCTCGCTTGCGCCAGCTTCTTCTGGCTCGCCTTGCGCTTCCGCCCGGTGAGCGCGAGTGCGCCGCCCTCTCCCTTGGAAGCGCTGCCGACCTGCACGCGGCAAAACAGATCACCTCAGTCTTTTGTCCCCACGATATGCTGTTACTATCTTCTGATGCCGGGAAGTTCTGGTGTTACAAAAACAACAAATCAGAACCAACTCCTTACATGAGGCCGGCAGGAAATCAGTATTGCTCTGCTGGATAACGGATGCTCTCAAGCCCGGTAAAGCTGGCGCGGCAGAAAACAAGAACAAGAGGAAGGCTTGTCACCTTCGCTGTGGGGCTCCCCAGCCCTCCGTTCGCCGCCTTGTGTGCCCGGGGCGTCTTGGCCACTTTCGTCAGCTCGACGTTTTGTAGGCACGTTGGCAAGTGACTGCCATCCGCCTGCATTAACATAAAACGGTCAGAACCTGTTCGTGCTGATTTCCAAGGACGTTTGCCTTGTGCTGATAGTACGGAGTAACCCAAAAGGAGGGTCCCTGTCAACATTTGCCCAATCTGCTACAAGGATTGATGGAAAGACGGGTCCTTGACGGCGTCCAATCGGCACTCGCAGACTTCAGATGTATTACAAACAGCGTCGGGCGATTGTTTTTAGCGGCTATGTTGGTCTGTTGCCAAAAGACAACCAACTCCGAACACTTAGAAAAGGGTCCAAAGCGTTTCACGAGGTCACTCAACATTAGAAACTTTGTCCCCCGCAGTACTCGCTTATTCGCGGGTACTCCTCATAAAACGGAATTTTCAAACAGGCACCCAGATTGTAATAGCTGTTCAAAAAGGGAGTTCTTAGATTCACCTTTGTTTTGACGACCTCGTTCTCCGAAGTCCCGGCCTCGCTTTCCGGAAGCTTGTAGTAGGCGGTCGGCAGGATGACCTTCCCGGGATACGCCCCGCTGTTCCACAGCTTCTTGCTCGTCAGCTCCTTCAGGATCGCCAATGACAGGTCGGCCAGCACGTACAGCCTCTGCAAGCAACCACCAAAAATGTTCCAATTCGGTCATGCCTTCATACGCATGTGGCTCTGATGATACTGTGGTAAACATAATGTGCCCTCACGCAGTGTGCGTTGAAACAGGCGCCCGGGGGAAGGGTGGGGTTGGCCCGGTGGTTAGGGTGGAATATGGCGCGCTTTATGATTAAGGCTGGATTTTCAGTTTGTTTGCACGGGGTCTACGAATCTAGGGCACACAATTATTATGGCACACAGGAATTGCCGGGTATGATACTCGTTTCGCCCGGGAATGTGTGTGGCCAAATCCGTGAAAAGTCTGTCCAAATCGCCAGCGAAGGTCCGTCAGCACATCCAGCCTCCCGCAAAGAAGCGGAGTCAATGTACGACGTGGGGTGTCCGGACCACGTCGTCGTTCCCCTTCCAGCCAGAATGACGCAGCACTGATCTTGATCCTCGCAAATTGCATGATCCAATGCAATTGAGAAGAAAGAACGAGCTTGAGCAAGAGGTGGCATCAGGACAAGTGCCGGTCACGGCTTGACAACTTTGTCAGCTGCTGTTGTTGGCATTGCCGCCATCTTCTTTAAGCGGACAAGCATGACCTGCGTGCGGTGAACAAAACCAGAAAGGCCAAACTCTACCGCTCATGACAAAGCAGAAACGAAGTGCAAGAGCCGTTTGAAATGCAATGTTCCATCACCGGGAAGACCGAAGTGGCCAGATCGCTGAAAACCACGTAAAGCAGTTAGACGCGAAAATAACGATGAAGAAAAGATTAAACCCACGCTCGTTGGCGAACAGGAGCAAAACCCCGCAAAGACGATTTGTCGTCAAAACCCCGAGCTCGACAGATGGCCTTTTCGGATCCTTCTTGATGGGGACTCCAAAACGGCACCGCTGATTTCTGGCCCCCGAGTGAGGTACTACGAAACATCGAAAGGCGGCAGAATCGTCAACAAAGGTGGGGTGGCGTCGTCAGATGTGAGCGTGGGACGTTTCATTCCCAAGCGCTCTGTGGATACTTTCATTGCCACCACGTCGCTGCAGCAGGAGGGGCGAGCACGGGCCAGCGCAAGCGAATCCTAGGGGGATCGTAGGCCCAAGTTTAGAATCAAGCAGCCAAAGTTGCTGAACGGAGTGCAGAAAGATCTAGCTATGGACAGAGAAACTTCGTCCAGTGCGAAACAACGGCACAGGGTTCCTGAGGCAGAGTCTTCGGTCGCCTGCCTTCATTCAAGCGTAGCATCAGTGAGACATCTAAGCTATGAGCAAATCCCCGTCATCTGAGAACTTGAAAGTTGCAGACCTTATGCGGAATGCTTTGCGGAAGAAGCAGGACTTGGAGCGGTTCCGCAAGGAAAGGTGCCGTGGTTACGATTCACCCGATCAAACTTTGCGGCTAGCACCACAAACAAACGTTCTAAATTCGAGACTCAGCAGAGCTCTGAACGCAGACAAAGTGAGAACCAAATTAGAGCGTTGCGTCAGGAAGACCTGGTGCCTTGGCTCAACCCTTGAAGCAAGTGGTCATTAGAGCGTTATCCTGTAGAGCGTTATCCTGTGCAGAGTGTGTGCAACGAGTCTTTCATGGAAAGAAAAACGGGCACATTTGTGAGTGGGCGATTTAGTTCAATCACGGATGACATCGTGGCGAGGAGCGGAGACAGCTAATGACATCTTGCCAGCTGCTCTCTTCATTGTCATCCTAACACAACGGCAACGCACCTTTTAAGGTTGAACAAGAAAACGAAGCCACTCTAATCCGCAAAGCCTTGGTCGACCAATGACAAACATATGAAGACTCTCCCTTCTTTTCACTGCCACTGCCTCAGGGGTTTGAGTAGAAAAGATTCCCCACAGCTCGAAAGCTTCGGGTCTTGTGAAAATGATTCTCATCATCGGCTTTGCAGTGAATACTCATAAGAAATCAAGGCTTCCGCTGGCGAGTGGGCAAGAGCAAGGTGCCGACTAGACCGAGGCTTATATTGGGAATATGCCATCCCTCAAACAGAACATCGCTGGGTACCATCCCCACAGTTCAGTCGTCCTTGGCATTCTCAGCTTCCTTACATCTGACAGGGAGGACAAGCTCAAGGAAACCCTAGCGCTTGCAACGGAACGTTCAAAAAGCTGCGTTGTAGCCGGAAGACGAAAAGCAGATGTCAGAAACAAGGAAGAGCAGAGGGAGAAAGTGGCGGCGTCAAAAAACACGCTTCAGAATTTGAGCGTCGGGTCTCAGGTATTGCCGTATCCTTGCCGCAAGCAACTTGAGAAGACTGCAACCTGGAAAAACGACGGCTCGGAACCGGAGATCTAAAAGACCTCTTAGCATTTGGCGGCTCCATCTGACACGCAGTAACAAGCTCGCAAAAGACCAACTCAAGTGGCATCCAAACATACGGGGGCAAGTGAGACAAACGGATCCCAGCACTTCGAAAGCTTCATGGCCACAACATCGCCACGGTGCCCCTACTTTTGACAGTTCCGATGACGAGAGTTACATTGACATTTCCGTCAGGTCGTGTTTTCAAATCAGCGTCATCCGCATGTGTGCGCTTTTGGAAGCAGCCCCATCAGTCGGACAAGGTCTTGCCATTGATTGGCAAAACGGAGGTTCGTCTCAAAACATTGCTGAAGGGGCTGAACACGGTGACCGTAGAGACCTCAAGCATCGAAAGTTGATCTTCCCCTAGTACGCAAAAAGGACTGTGTAAAAAAAAAATGTAATTTAAAGGTTGGTGTGGTTCTGGTAGCCAACCCAGCATAGATAAAGAGATGTTGCCTTGTGTGTGCCGCACCCTTAAAAGTACAAAACAATAGTCATAAAGAGGAACATGATGAACTGAAACTTGAACACGTGTTCAATTCAATGCCGAATCGAAAGTCCTGTGTCGCATGAAGGCACAGAATTTCCAGAAAGAAGCTCACCTCGCTCATGTCGGGTTCCACTGCGTCCTGTGCGGCCTTGATGTGACGCAGGATCGCAAACAGCGCCGGCAGGTTGTCGTTCTCCTCCTTGCTCGCCTCCGACCGCGACTCCGCGTCCGAGTGCGTCAGCGCCTTCAGCGTGAATACCAGGATCCTGCGAAAAACAAACTGCTTAGTGCTTGGAAATGAAAGCTTCTTTCAGAGAGTCAGCAACATCAGAAATGCGTGCAGTGCACTATATCTAACTGGGAAGTTGCTCCAGATACATGCCAGAATGCTTGTGAGGATCCGACAGCCATCCTTCAGAAGACTTTGGCTTCGGGCCACTTTTGTAGATGTAAATAACCCGGCGAGTGCTTCAGTATATGCATCAGGCCGTTTGAGCAGATTCAGACAGCCCGACGAAGCTGGCTGCCTTGATGTTGTATCAAAAAGTAGCCGGCAAGCTCGTTATCAAAGACTGAAGCCTTCACAGGTGGACTTTACCGTCAAGAGAGTCTCCAATAATCCCTAAATGCTGGCAGGGTTAAGCGATACGGTGTGTTTGCGATTTGCTGACCTTTCCGTGGATCGAAGTGAAGAGCTCCCTCCGAAGCAGCTAGTGCCTCTGGAGCCTTTGGTGCCAGCTTTGAAGCACAACAGCATTGGGAAATAGAATTGCAAAGAGTATATCACCTCACACCAAGACCAAAGAAGCGCTTCGTCACGACGCTATAACTTCTACTCGTATCCATGACCATCGCCAAGTCATGAAAGACGTGGCACAATATCTCCATCAACAAGTTCCATCCTTCACTCATTTTGCAAGATCTGGTACGCGCTCGCGTCCCCCGCGTCCTCCTCGGCCGGGAAGTCCGGATGGTGCTCGACATATTACTGAAGCCCTTAACTATCATCGCCAACTTGCCACATCAGCAAAGTTCGCCACGTCAGCAAAATGAAAGCGAACCAACGGCTTCTCCCTACGGCTCACTTTTGGAAGATCTTATGCGCGTTCGCGTCCCCCGCGTCCTCCTCGGCCGGGAAGTCCGGGTAGTGCTCGAGAGACTACTGAAGCCTCAAATATTGTTTGGCAGTCCGCCACTTTAGCAAGCGTAGAAAGACCTTATGGATCTTCTTCGCACTCACTTTTGGAAAATCTCGTACGCGCTCGCGTCTCCCGCGTCCTCCTCGGCCGGGAAGTCCGGGTGATGCGCGAGCAGGTGCAGCAGGTACATGAGCAGCGGCTCCGGGTGGAACGCCAGCAGGTTCGCGGGCTGCTCCCTGTCCGCAGCCGCC